GCTGCTGCTCACTTGAAGTGCTTTATGTTGCAAGTAAATTTTAGAAACTAATCATCAGAGTTGTTTGTGTTATAACAGAATACGTTGTTTAGCTTGCCTTACCTGAAAAAGTAGTGCAAAGTGACTGATGCTGCAATAATGATACATTCTGGTTATGTTTGAGGAGGTCCATGTAGAGCGCAAGGAGAGGAAAAGGAATGCCTGTATTTTAAGGGCAGATACGGTACTGCACTGCCTGATAACTGTTTTTTATCTTCCAATCCCACCATATATTTATGCAGTTTCTGCCCCAAACTGCTCACCTATATCAAACTGTCCTGAGGTCTGTTAGTTATAACACTGTGTTGTAGAAAAAGAATGAATTTTCCTAAGTAGATTTATAAAAGTATATTCAGAATTTTGGTCACGTAACAATGTAAAAAACTAGAACTCTTGTATAAAGGGATAAAAAGGATAACTTACGGCCTTATTTGTCCCCATATTTTCATTTTATTTTCCATCCTTTAAAATCCTGTCTAATACTTGTGTCAGTAACTTGATTTGCATGTATCTGTGCTCTCTAATAATAGTTTATTTGGATAAAATGTGAAGCTGATTATGGTATGGTGCGGATTATAGGCTGGTATCAGGCTCATGAGGTATCTGACTTTCCTAGTGGTATGAATCTTGCAGGTTTCCTCCCCCACTACTGAGCCCACTGTGTTGCATTTTCTGCAACCAGTATTTCCCCACAGTGTGGTGATAGCTGCTAAGCTCATAGTTGTTGGCTGAAACAGATTCCCTCTCATTTTGAAGGACTACATGGAACGTAACTGAACTTGAAATGTACAAGGAACAGCCACGAACCCTGGCATGTATGCAGCTCTGAATGTCACTACCTTTCAGGGAATTAAAATTCCTTGAAGCTCAGTAAGATCTGAAACTCAAAACTGGCTTTTGGTGGGGGAAGGGAGACAACGTTAGGTCAAGTCTCTTTTGCTTTGTGAGGAATGAGGGCGATGTTTGGACTATGATGAAACCTGTAAAAAGTGCCACATCCAATTTTTCTGCAGAGATGTTTCCTCTCCCCTTACTAGAGGTGATACCAGGACTGCACGTGAGCTGTTTGCATTGATTTTGGAGCATACAAGTAAGAGTGGCCATTCAGTCCAGACTACAGATGTTTAAAAGTCCCACAGAGATCCACTGAACGTTCAAAGTGATGCTGTTGCTTCTAGGAAGGACAAGAAGCACTGCATCATTGATAAGTGTGAATGTCGAGGCACTGAGGGTGCCACTGAGCTCTTTGTTACAGGGCCTTTGCACATGACTGAGAGCAGATGCTGTTTTCTGCAGTTAGCCTTGCTCACAGAAACAGTGGGCTGTTGGCAGTGTCATCCTCGGGTGTAAAGGCACTGCTGAAGAGAATGAGAGCTTCACATATTTTTAACAAAAAACGTAATTACTCTGAAGAGCATTGGCAGGCAGTTTCCTTTTCCAAGTTAGGCAACGGCATCCGTGGCATACACGTTCTCCTAACTCACTTTTGTTATCACTCAGCCACACTTGTTTTTCTTTATTAGTGACACTGCTGTTTTTGGCACAATGCTTGCTTGTGTACTTGTGTACCAGCATTCATTTCTATTATGTGCGTCACTTGATTTAATCCTTTTTTTTCTTTTTAAGCTTCTGTGAATAATTTCTTTGATCTGGTGCTGCTGTCATCATTCCTTTGGTCCATGTTATGCCTACCCTGTGATGTTTGTGAAATGACGCAATTTAGTACTGTTTTTCTGCAGTTATCCATTGCCTTGTTTAGCTGTGTTTGTTATGCTAAGTGTGGTTCCCTTCTGGTTTGGATCTCCACCAGCCTGAGTGCCCACAACGCTCTTCTTGTAACGCAGGATCATCTTTGTGTCTGGAGCTCTGGAAAACCGTGTCAGCTCACTGTGAATGTCATTCAGGACTGGGAAGTTTCCTCTCCTTGCAAGTTTTTAGCTTTGTTGAGGTAATACTGACTCTTCCAGTAGTTCTCACTGACGTGGCTTGTGTTAGTTTTGGTTGGTGAGTTGGTTTCTCTGGAAGCAGAGGCTGAAGCATATAACTACAAATCAGTCTCTTACATATCCATTCGATTCCTCCAAATTGAAAGACTATCTCTGTAATCTGAAGACATTTTGTGGATGACTGAGAATATGGAAAGAAAAAAAAAGTAGGAAAAAAACATTTCTCCTACAGAGCTCAAGTAAAACTGAACTATTATTCAGACTCCTGTAATAAGCACAGGCACGCAACTATGAAAATGAGTTAAATGAAAGCTATTAATATGCATACATCCATTAAGTGTTACAAAACCAACTTCAGTAAAAAACAGTTACCTGGTGACACTCTCGCTTGCACTGTGGAGTTTAAGTCAGTCTTCTTTTCCATAGTCTTAACTTTCAGGCTTTCAGTGAAATCACTTTCTCACTAAGAGACTTCACTTATTTGATTTTATCCTCGACAGCCTATGTTTTCTGGTGATCTTCTGTACCTAGGGAGTCTCTCAGAAGATTGTTTTCCCCAGTAGGTGAGTCTTGGGTGTCATGTTCTGCAGCACTCTGTGCCTGGTCCCAACTGGCCTAGTCCCAAACCTCTTAGAAGTCCAGTCCCTAAGCAAGCAGTGAGGATGGATATGGATTAATCAGGTGATTCCGAATCAGAGGCTGGGGAGCAGAGTGAGTGTAACTGAGAAGCGCAGAGCACAGAGTGATGGAAAAGGGCAGGTATCTATCTGTCTTCATGTTTTATGGGGTCTTCGTGACAGTCAGAATCCTGGGTAGCTGGAGGTAGCTCGAGGTGGGGTTTTTTGTTGTTGTTGTTGTTGTTTTTTGTGGGGAGGGGGTTGATGTTTTTTGTTTGATTGATTTTTTTTATTTTTTTATTTTTTAATGGCTTGGACTGGAAGGGACCCCAAGGATGAAGTTCCAACCCCCCTGCCACAGGCAGGGCCACCAAACTCCAGATCTGGTACTAGACCAGAACTCTAGACTAGGATTCTTGCATTAAAATCATTTGGCAAATGTGAAGTTAGGTACAATGGCCAACAATTGAATCCTGAGAGATGTCTAAGTTTCAGGCTTTATAGGCTAAAGTCTAACAGAAATTACTTAAAAGATGACTTGATAGCAGTGTTACATTTGTGCCTTTTGATGAGCTTTATGCATACGTGAACTTGGTTTAATTGGAGCTGTTGGTATGCAAGATAGCATCACAGAAAAGTTTGATCTCAGACATTAGCTCAACTTAGTGTCCAAATCTGACTATTAATTGCCCTTTGTAGGGGGCAAGGAGTTTGTGTTATCAGTGAGTGTAAGGTGTAGGACAGCAAACTGGGTGTGAAAAAGTTTGAAGCTGACAGTGAGATGGTTATTTCAAGGTGTTAGTCAGTTGACCCACAATGTTTCAACAGTAATAAAAAACACTGAACTACACTTCTCCCGTAACTGTGCTTGCTGTGTAAATATTTGAATATTTATCTAAGTACCATAGCATATACATATAGAACAGTGCTTATTAACAAAGGTTGTGCTATGTTTAAACACGTTTTCTGCATTCCTGTTTGTCTTACAATATTTTTATTCATATTGTCTGTTTTAGACCGCTGGTAAAATTAGACTTCTGATCTTTGGGAAGCAACACAAATTTTCCTGCCAGCTTAGGCACATTTTAGAAACAGCTTTTACTTTACACTTACTAGTTCATATTATAGTGCTACCTGTTTGTACTGGGCTTGGAGAAGTCCAAGTGGATTGAAACAGTTCCTTCCTTTCCTTTTTTTTTTCTCCTCTCCCACCACCCAGTCACTCTCACAGAGATTTTTCAACAGAAACTTTACATAGTTTGAAAGAAGCACAGCTTATAGGTTTGTAACATTCCTCAGAAGCCAGGTACTGCAAAGCAGTTGGTGGAGGCTAGATTCATTGTGTACACTGCTTGCCAGGGAGACATAAATGGGGAATGCTGGGGAGATCCCATGGATAAAAACATCAGAATGGGTGTGACTTATAAGTTCACTTAAAGGCAAGTTTAGCTCTGTGGTTTTGTGCCACCAGCTATCCCAAAACAAATTGTCATTAGAGTACTAAACTTGAAAAGCTCAACAAAGAAATCTATACATTAGGGTTACTTTAAATTTCAGGATCTTAGCAGTGTTTTGTATGATGTGATGCAATATATAGCTACATTTGCTGTGGAATTCATTCTGGCAAACTGCAGTTTAGGGATACATACCACACTGCTGCTCTGTAATTACTTAGGCTGAGGCTAGCTCCATAGTGAGAGGAACCATAGCATATATACATAAGATTAAACAGATGACAGACCAGTCTTCAAAGAGTTTTCAGCTGCGAGGAAGGACAAATTTATCTCTTCATTCAGAGCTTTAGGGCTCAGACTGTGTGGTCAGGTGGGCAGAGTTAAACTACCCCTGGGCCAGGGTCCTCTGCTCTCCTGCCCTGAGGCCCTCTACTGTAAATCAGTATGGCTCTGTTCAGTGGCTCTGCTGATGAGTGAATGATTAACCAAAACCCATCAACCAGACGGGAGATGGGCACTGCTAAATGACTTGAAAGTAACTCCTGCATACAGATT